ACATATATGTGTATATATATATATATATATATATATATATATATATATATATATATATATATATATATGCATATTGCACACACACACACTTACACCACATACACACACTATATATACATATAGATATGTGTGTGTGTGTGTGTGTGTCGCACGCACACACACACACACACACACACACATATATATACATATATATGCACACAAATACACACATACACACACATATATGTATATATATATATATATATATATATATATATATATATATATATATATATATGCATATTACACACACACACACTTACACCACATACACACACTATATATACATATAGATATGTGTGTGTGTGTGTGTGTGTGTGTGTGTCGCACGCACACACACACACACACACACATATATATATACATATATATACACACAAACACACACAAACACACACATAAACACACACACATACTCAAAAGACAGAGATCGATGGACATATATATGTAAATATATATGTGTATGTGTGTGTGTGGATGTGTACTTATCCGTGTGTGTGTGAGTGTGTGTGTGTTTTTATATGTGTGTGTACAGAAAGATAGACGGACGATCATATATACACATATTTGTGTCTACATATATACTCATATGTACCGCATATTAGTTAATGAATAATAATGTCGGTAAACATGATGTACAATTGGTGTTTATGGAGCTATGGTGTTGATAAAAATCATGTTGATAATGTTATTGGTAATAATGATGGTAATAGTGGTAATAATGGGGATAATTTAGAGCACAGAAACGATAACAATGGTCAATATCAGTATCGTTTAATTGGATTACATAGGTATTTTTTCTGTATAAATTCGCAGTTTTTAAAAGAAGTATAATTTTAACAGTGTCTGACAAGTCTTCCTTTTTTTTTACTTCATTTCAAATCTTTCTCTGTTTTCTTTTAATTTTTATATATTTTTTCTTTGTGTAGACCGGAAGTTGTTCAAAGAACTATACTAATGTTTATTTGACCTGCTATTGTTGAAGAAAAAAATTCTAAAGTTAAAATTTTCAGAACTAGATAATGCTGGATTTGTTTTCCTCTACTTAGCAGGAAATTATTTTTATTATTATTTTAATTATCATTATGCGCTTCGCATTGGCTTACGATGATAAATGTTTTAGAATGATGATTCTTTTCACTCAGTAACAATACAAGGCTTTTCAGTAACAATACAAGGCTTTTTCTAAAGTAAAATTGCATCTCCCTTTTGGTATGAAAAAAGTCGCAGATTTGTATAAAAATTATAGTTTTATTTCATATTGAAATAGATATGTTCTAAATAATATACACATGATTTTCTATGTCTTGAATCTCTCTAGGATTTAAGCATAGGCGGGGGTAGGGGTGCCGTAGGCGGGGGGAGCGGGCTTGTAGGTGGGCTTGTACTCGGGGTACTGAGCCTCGCCCTCGTAGGTGACCTCAGCCACATAACCGTCGCCGTTGTCCACGTACTTGACGATCTGCTTGCGGCCGTCAGGGAGGTCGACGCTGTAGCTGCCCTCGGTCTTGTAGCCGTCGCGGGACTCCGAGGCGGCGAAGTTGGCGCCGGAGTAACCGTCGGCGACGCCGTAGTTGTAGTTGTACTTCGGGGGCACCTGCATGAGTTAAAATCGGGAAGAATGAGAGATATTCAAATGAATGTATTATCAAAACTGCTCGTGTTATTGTTTCTGGATACTAATAAGGACCATGACTTGACAGTAAAATTGTACAAACAGTTTGTACAGTAAACAGACAGTTAATAAGAATTAAATGAATGTCAGAATTGGTACTCATATACTCACGTCAGGGTACTCATTTTCATAGTGTTTTGGAGCGTGGTAGGCGGGCTCTGGGGCGTGGTAGGCGGGCTCGGGGGCGTGGTAGGCGGGCTCGGGGGCGTGGTAGGCGGGCTCGGGGGCGTGGTAAGCGGGCTCGGGGGCGTGGTAGGCGGGCTCGGGGGCGTGGTAGGCGGGTTCGGGGGCGTGGTAGGCGGGCTCTGGGGCGTGGTAGGCGGGCTCGGGGGCGTGGTAGGCGGGCTCGGGGGCGTGGTAGGCGGGTTTGGGGGCGTGGTAAGGAGCAGGGGCCTTGTAGGAAGGTCTAGGGGCGTAAACGGGGGGATGAGGGGCGTGGACTGGGGCCTTGTCGCACACAGCGACGACAGCCACGCAGGCGAGGACGACGACCTATGGATAAGTGGACATATTCTGTCAGAACCTTTGATGCAAAAATGAATGGAAGAGAGAAAAAAGGGGGGAGAAGCGTAGTTATCTCGAAATGGAGAAAGGTAAAAAAAAAACAAAGAACCAAACAGATAATAAGAAATATGACTGAAGTCATTCATAAAAACTAAAACAAGATTTCATTTTCTCTCTTTATAATGCAAATAAACCACAATAAATTTTCACGTAGCACACTAAGCCAGTCATTCACTACTGTAAACCAAACAATTAGTAAACACCACAGATAAAATCTAGGTTACGCTGTACCGGAGGATTTCATTCATACCTTAAGAGACATGGTTGATGAGTGTATGATAGTCAGCGGTTGACACCTCCCTTTATATACGTGTTGTGTGCGTGTGTGTGTGTGTCCGTGTGTGTTCTGCTGTAGGCCTTTCTCTTATGCCTGAGGAAATAATTTTCAAGTCCTTCATATGCATTATTACAAAATGCCAATAGGATATCATCCTACTCAAAAGTATTTCTCATATCTTCATCGTATTCAAGAAATGGTTTTAGAGTATTTTCATATATATACCAATTAAAAATCATAAAACTAAATGTTTCCCCACATACACACACAAAAATGTATACTTAAATACATACATACATATATATATATGCATGTATGTATATACATACTTACATATATTTATATGTATGTATATATATATTCCTACTTATACATAAATGATATAGATAGATAAAGTTGATTGGAAGGGAGACTGCATGCCTGTGGTTATACATGTGTGTGTGTGTGTGTGTGTGTGTGTGTGTATGTGTATTATAAACCGCAATATGCGAACAGACAAATTGCCCTACACATGTAAATATAAAGACATACGACTATAAACCAACTTGTATAGATGTATATATATATCATATACAAAATGAATATATAATTAAATATATACATATTTTTAAATAGATAGATACAGATATATGTACATGTGCATACATCTGATATATATATATATATATATATATATATATATATATATATATATATATATATATATCAGATAGAGGTATATTTATATACATTATACACACATACACACACACACATATATATATATACATATATATATTATGCATATATGTTTAATACGTTTGTACGTATATACATATACATATATATTTATCTCTCTCTCTCTCTTGCAGTCAGTCGATGCGACTAAGACTGTCTCATGAATTTGGCTTCAACTTGGATATAGATCTCCAAGCAGCTCTATCGTTGGCCGTAATCTGCCAAGTTTCTATGTCAATCTTTCTGTACTTCATATTCCTTTTTGCTACGTCCTTAAATCTGAGTCTAGGTCTTCCTTGGTTTCTTTTTCCTTCGCATAGTTGTGAGTACAGCAGCTGTCTAGGGAGTCTGTCGGTATCCATCCTGTGTATATGGCCTAACCACCTGAGGTTTTTCTCGATGAGTATATCAGCCATGCAAGGTAGGTTGGCACGTCTAAGTATTTCCTCATTTGTGATCTTATCATACCACTTTATATTCATGATGTCCCTCAGTTGTCTCATCATGTATGCTTCTTCACCTGAGTTCTAAATATTGTCCAGGTTTCAGCTCCATAAAGGAGTGTGGACTGTACCACAGCTCTGTACACTTTGCACTTGACTCTTATAGAGACATGTCTATTGTTCCAAAGCCTCTGCCGGAGTTTCCCGAAAGCTGTGCTTGCTTTGTCTATCCTTTTCTCAGCTCCTTATCTATCCTTGCAGTGCTGGAGACTGTACTTCCTAAGTAAGTGAAGTCAGTTGCATAAGCAAGTGGTTCTCGGTTGATTGTAATAATCTCTGGCTCAGGAGGTGGATGAAGCAGTTTAATTGGCTGGTACATGCATTCTGTCTTTTTAATGTTGATTTTCAGGCTAAATTGAGCTGCTGCCTTTGCGAAACTGTTTAATTGGCTGTGGTAATAGTGGTAATAATGATGATAATTTAGAGTACACTAACGATAAAATGATAATGATTATAGTGTTTTAATTAGAATGCATATGTGTTTTTCTTTATAAAGCCGTTGTTTTTAAACGAAGTATAATCATAACATCATCTGACAAGTCTTCCTTTTTTATCTTCATTTTAAATATTCTTCGGTTTTCGTTCACTTTCAATATATTTTCCACATATAGACCGGAAATTGTTCTAAGACCTAGACTAGCGTTTATATTACATGCTGTTGCTGAGAACACAAAGTTGAAAGTTAAAATTCTTAGAAGTAGACAATGATGATTTTTTTTCCTCTCTTGAACTTTCAAGAATTTAGCAGGAAATCCGAACTATTGTATATACGCTTAACACTGGCTCATGGTGATAAATATATTTTAGATTCCTTGGACTCAGTATGAATATAAGGATTATTTAGCAGTTTTTAAGTTAATTGTATCTCCCATTTGGTATGAAAAAAGTCGCAGATTTATATAAAAATGTAGTTTTATTTCACGTTGAAATAAATAGGTTCAAAATAATGTACATATATGATTTTCTAAGTCTTGAATCTCTCTAGGATTTAAGCATAGGCGGGGGTAGGGGTGCCGTAGGCGGGGGGAGCGGGCTTGTAGGTGGGCTTGTACTCGGGGTACTGAGCCTCGCCCTCGTAGGTGACCTCAGCTACAAGACCGTCGCCGTTGTCCACGTACTTGACGATCTGCTTGCGGCCGTCGGGGAGGTCGACGGTGTAGCTGCCCTCGGTCTTGTAGCCGTCGCGGGACTCAGTGTGGCCGAAGTTGGCGCCGGAGTAACCGTCGGCGACGCCGTAATTGTAGTTGTACTTCGGGGGCACCTGCATGAGTTAAAATCGGGAAGAATGAGAGATATTCAAATGAATATATTAGCAAAACTGCTCGTGTTATTGTTTCTGGATACTAATAAGGACCATGACTTGACGGTAAAAATGTACAAACAGTTTGTACAGTAAACAGACAGTTAATAAGAATGAAATGAATGGCAGAATGAGTACTCATATACTCACGTCAGGGTACTCATTTTCATAGTGTTTCGGGGCGTGGTAGGCGTGTTCGGGGGCGTGGTAGGCGGGTTCAGGGGCGTGGTAGGTTGGTTCGGGGGCGTGGTAGGCGGGTTAGGGGGCGTGGTAGGCGGGTTCGGGGGCGTGGTAGGCGGGTTCGGGGGCGTGGTAGGCGGGTTTGGGGGCGTGGTAGGAAGGTCTAGGGGCGTAAACGGGGGGATGAGGGGCGTGGACTGGGGCCTTGTCGCACAAAGCGACGACAGCCACGCAGGCGAGGACGACGACCTATGGATAAGCGAACAACTTCTTTTGTCAGAACCTTTGATGCAAAAATGAAGGAAAGAGAGAAAGAGAGGGGGGGCAGAGAGAGAGAGAGAGAAGTGTAGTCATATCGAAGTGATGAAAGATAAAACAAAGTATTTCTCATATCTTCAATGCCATGTATTATCGTATTTGAAAATATTTTCATAGTATCATGCTAATTAAAGACTATAAAGTTAAATGTTTGAACACACAGAGACGAATGTACATATACATATGTACATGCATACATACATATATTTATATGTCTGTGTGCATATATACATTTATTTAATTATGTATATATATAAGTACTTATATGTAAATAGATTGATAGAGATAGATATAGTAGATTGGAGGGGGGAGACTGTATGCCTGTAGTTATATATATGTATATATATATATATATGTATATATATATATATATATATATATATATATATATATATTATATACATCAATATACGAATAGACAAATTGGCCTACATATGTAGATACAAAGGCTTACAATTACAAACTAACTGGAATACATGTGTGTGTGTATCATATGCAAAAAATAATATATACATATGTACTCACTCGCATATAGATAAACATATAGATGTGGATATATGTACATGTACATGCATACATATGTAAGTATATATAAATATATATATATATATGTATATATATATATATATCAGATAAACAGACAGAGGTATATTTACAGATATACATACGCACTCACACATATATATACACATATATAGATATTATGTATATATGTATATGTGTATACATAAATATACATATATATGTAGGTATATATACATATGTATACAAATGTATATATATATATATATCTATACCTATATATATGTATGTATACATACTCATATACATATACATATGTAGACAGACACACACACATGTGTGTGTATATGTGTTCATATACACACGCAAACACACGTATATGTATATTATATAAATGTATATTTATATACGCATGTACTGCATAGTAGTTAATGGATGAGACTGTTGGTAATGATGATGCCAGTGTGCTATATTTCTAGTAGATTTTGATGTTTATGAAGTTAGCAACAATGATATTGATAACAATGAAGCTAATAACACTATTGGTAATAATGACGGTAATAATGTTAATAATGATGATAATTTAGAATACACTAACGATAACAGTGATAATGGTTATAGTTTTAATTGGAATGCATCCGCTTTCTTTATAAATTCATTGTTTTTAAAAGAAACATAATTGTAACATTATCTGACAAGTCTTCCTTTTTTATCTTCATTTTAAATCTTCGGTTTTCATTTACTTTCAATATATTTTTCTACGTATAGACCGGAAGTTGTTCTAAGACCTATACTAGCGTTTATTTTACATGCTGTTGCTGAGAATACAGTTGAAAGTTCAAATTTTCAGAACTAGACAATGATGGATGGAAATTGTGACTATTGTATATACGTTTAATAGTGGCTCATGGTGATGAATATATTTTAGATTCCTTGGACTCAGTAACAATACAAGGATTATTTGGCAATTCTTAAAGTCAAATTGTATCTCCCATTTGGTATGAAAAACGTCGAAAATTTATATAAAAATGTAGTTTTATTTCATGTTGAAATAAATTTTCTAAATAATGTACATATATGATTTTCTGTCTCGAATTTCTATGATTTAAGCATAGGCGGGGGTAGGGGTGCCGTAGGTGGGGGGAGCGGTCTTGTAGGTGGGCTTGTACTCGGGGTACTGAGCCTCGCCCTCGTAGGTGACCTCAGCTACATAACCGTCGCCGTTGTCCACGTACTTGACGATCTGCTTGCGGCCGTCGGGGAGGTCCACGGTGTAGCTGCCCTCGGTCTTGTAGCCGTCGCGGGACTCAGTGTGGCCGAAGTTGGCGCCGGAGTAACCGTCGGCGACGCCGTAGTTGTAGTTGTACTTCGGGGGCACCTGCATGACATGAGTTAAAATCAGGAAGAATGAGAGAGAGATTCGAATAAAGGTATTAGCAAAACTGCTCTTGTTATTGTTTCTGGATAGTAATAGTGACCATGACTTGACGATAAAGATGTACAAACAGTTTGTACAGTAAACAGACAGTTAATAAGATGAATGACAGAATTGGTACTCATATACTCACGTCAGGGTACTCATTTTCATAGTGTTTCGGAGCGTGGTAAGCGGGCTCTGGGGTGTGGTAGGCAGGCTCTGGGGCGTGGTAGGCGGGCTCTGGGGTGTGGTAGGCGGGCTCGGGGGCGTGGTAGGCGGGCTCGGGGGCGTGGTAGGCGGGTTCGGGGGCGTGGTAGGCAGGTTTGGGGGCGTGGTAAGGAGCAGGGGCGTGGTAGGAGGGTCTAGGGGCGTAAACGGGGGGGTGAGGGGCGTGGACTGGGGCCTTGTCGCACAGAGCGACGACAGCCACGCAGGCGAGGACGACGACCTGTGGATAAGCAGACAAATTCTTCTGTTAAAACCTTTGATGCAAAAATGAATGGAAAAAGAAAGAGATAAAAGGGGGGGGGAGACGAATAGTCATCTCGAAATGAAGAAAGGTAAAAACAAACAGATAATAAGAAATATGATTGAAGTCATTCATGCCAACTAAAACAAGTTTTCACTTTCTCTTTTTATACTGCACATATACCACAATAAATGTTCTCTTAGCACACTAATCCAGTCACTCACTACTGTAAACCAAACAATTAGTAAACACCTTCACAAACAAAATCTAGTTTTCGCTATACCGAAGGATTTCATTCATACCTTAAGAGACATGGTTGGTGAGTGTATCATAGTCAGCAGTTGACACTTCCCTTTATATACGTGCTGTGTGCGTGTGTGTGTGTGTTCTGCTGTAGGCCTTTCTCTTATAGCCTGAGGAAATAATTCTCAAGTCCTTCATATGCATTATTACAAAATGTCAGTAGGTTATTATCCTACTCAAAAGTATTTCTGATATCTTCATTACCATGTATTATCGTATTTAAGAAATGGTTTGAAAATATTTATGTATATATGATATATATGTATCATTATGATTAAAGACTCTAAAGTTAAATGTTTGAACACACACACACACAATAATGTGCATATACATATATGCATGCATATATACATATATTTATAGATATGTGAATGTGTGCGCATATATACATTTGTTTAGAATATATATATATATATATATATATATATATATATATATATATATATATATATATATATATATATATATATATATATATATATATATATATGTATATATACATATATATATATATATATATATATATATATATATATATGTATATATATATATATATATATACATATATATATATACATATATATATATATATATATATATATATATATATATATATATATATATATATTGTGTGTGTGTGTGTGTGTGTAAGTACTTACATATAAACAGATTGATAGAGATAGATAGCTATAGCTAATTGGAGGGAGGAGACTGCATGCCTGTGGTTACATATGAATATATATATTATAAACATCAATATACAAGTAGACAAATTGGTCTGCAGATGTAAATGCAAAGGCTCACGATTATAAACTAACTTGTTTACATGTGTGTATGTATGTATATATCACATACAAAAATGAATATATACATATGTACACACATGCATATAGATAAATATATAGATATGTATATATATATATATATATATATATATATATATATATATATATATCAGATATATAGACAGAGGTATATTTACAGATATATATACGTACTCACACACATATATACATATATATAAATATTATGACTATATGTATATGTATATCTCTATATATATACATATATATGTATGTATATATATATATTCATACTTATCTATATGTATGTATATATACTCATATATACATATGCATGTGTAGGCGGACACATGTACTGTATAGTAGTTAATGGATGAGACAGTTGGTAATGATGATGTCAGTGCGCTATATTTCTAGTAGATTTTGATTATGAACATATCAACAATTATATTGGTAATAATGAAGCTATTAATACTATTGGTAATAATGATAGTAATAGTGGCAATAAGGAGGATAATATAGAGTACACTAATGATGGCAGTGATAATGATTATAGTCATTTAACTGGAATATATGTTGCGGTTTTTTTCTTTATAAATTCATTGTTTTTAAAAGTACAATCATAACATTATCTGGCAAGTCTTCCTTTTTTATCTTCATTTTAAATCTTAATTTTTTCCACCTATAGGCCAAAATTTCTTCTAAGACCTATACTAACGCTTATTTTACATGTTGTTGCTAAGAATACAAAGTTAAAAGTTGAAATTTTCAGATAATTTTCAGATAATGATGTTTTTTTATCCTCCATTGAACTTTCAAGAACCTAGCAGGAAATTATGACTATTGTATATACGCTTAACACTGGCTCATGGTGATAAATATATTTTAGATTCCTTGGACTAGTAACAAT